TGTGCCCCCCTTTTTTTTTCACCCTACAGCTCCCCGAGATCTTGTGGACTAGCTAATCAGTAAGTCGCCCTGCCATTCTTTCCGGTTCATTCACACGTCTCCCCACATAAAAATAAATATATATAATATATATACACTTATACGTGCTTCTAACGAAACATATGTATTTTATTCTTCGGCTATAGTGCGCGCTAATACGTCAACTAAAAAACGGAGATGAACCCCTTACGTCAGGAGGAGTTGGCAGAACCGTCCGCATAGCCAAGCCACAACCGTGCCGCCACAACCGACCGACGACAGCTATCTTGAGATCTCATACTCGCCATTACTCGCCAGACACAACTATTAGACCTCTCCCCCTGTCATCGATCCCGCCATCCAAGAAATTCTGAATTATTCCCCTCCTCCTCTCGAGGAACGATTCCCTCCCTCTCCTCCTCTCGAGGAACAATTCCCTCCCCCTCCTCCTCTCGAAGAGGGATTTCCTCTCTCTCTTCTTTTAAATCAGCTCCCAACTCCTCCTTTTCAATCGGATCCCGTGTCAATCGACTAGGATCGGCTCTTTAGACTATATTCTTCTTCCTCCAATGAAGGGGATAGAATAGTTACAGTCTACATTCCAGGCAACTTTTTATCATCATATCAACTTTTTACCATAACCAATAAATCCATAACCTCACGAATAATGATAAATTTTATTATATATATAACTATATGTAATATTATATATATATATTATAATATAATAACTTTAATTTTTTTTATTAATAAATATAAGTCATTATTGTAAATGAAGATTACCGGATTCTATTAATTTGAATCATCTCTCGTATTCCTTTCCCCCTAAACACCTAAGATTGTACGAGGTCCAGTCCCAGGTCAAAAGGATTAAGTTCGTTGATCCAAAAAGGACCGACGTTCGCACTGTCCCTCGGAACAGGTCATAGCGTCTCTTCGGGACGTTGATCCATATTCCGGGACCAAAAAAGTGCGTGCGCCTCACAGGTGTTCGCCTCTGCGCGTATACCTGTGAGATTAATCTCCGTCCTTCCATACCCTCTCTATTCTTTCTCATTGTCTCCTTCACTAAATTTCTAAGAGTTTAGATATAACAGGACCATTGGAGCATTCTTGCTTCCCGTTTGAGAATAATATGACATTTTTTATTTAAAAAAAGCTGTTCGTAAACCCTTTGTACAATTACAAAAGATTTATAATTGTTATAGAGAAAAAAAGATACGATTTCAAGAGTTCTTCGCAAAATTCCGCTATCGCGATTCGTGTATATTGTCGGAAATTACATAATAGCTCTCTTGTGCATCAACAAGAAAATATTAAGCAGTTTTCAAGTATAAAAATAAATGGAGTTACAAATTAGATAAAAGCAATGATTGTTGCATTATAGTAAATATATTGCAATATGATAATAGTAATGAGTAATTGTCAATAAATTTCAACTCATTAATTCATTTTACAATATCAATAATCTAGACTCACAGGAAGTAGGAATTTTTAAATTTGCAAAGTTATCTAGAGATTTACATAAAATTTCATTTAGAGCTATTAAATCAAAAACTTATAAAATGTCTTATTGGCAAAACGCGGAACTTTACTTCGAAAAAAATATTTATATTGTAGCTAAAATTTATAATCATGAATGGTTATTACATTATTAACTTTTATATACATTTTATTGTATATTATTTTAATATTATGGCGATTATATAACTAAATTTAATAATTTTCATAATACTCTTACGGAAATGTTCATATTTTATAATATTTCATAAACTTATTATATTTATTACTAAAAATAATGAATCGAGAATAAAATTGAAAAATATTAGAATTTTAAAAAAAGATGCGTAGGAAACTATACGTTTATAATTGAACATTTGGATGGTGTACGCGGAGTCGATTTTCTTGAATTCCGCGCTAATTTTAAGGCAAATTTTGGATTGGTTCTTGCTATATCAAGCCGCCATTATACGCATTCTCTTACGTTCTATGGTGGAAGAATTACATAGTGTGCTCAGTTTGCAAGCATTTTTCTCTAAAATTAGCGCTCTCAGTTGTGTTTCTGTTTTTCGTTCCGCAAGACCTATAACTGTGAAATCCTTTCCTCGTGCAAGAAAAGATTCTATACCAACTTCATGACGCGAAATAGGTCGATATTCATTCACAGTCGATTCTTACATTTAAGACATTTAAGACATTTGTCTTAAGTCAATCTTAAGATGTCGTAAGTCAATTCGAGGACTTATATTTAAGACATTATATTTAAGATGGTTTTAAAATAGAAACAGACTATGAATACCCCATGTTTCGCGTTTCACAGTTGGTAGACTTAGAGACGACGCGGAGCAAAAGTAGGCGTGATTTGGCCAAACTGAGCACACCATGTAATCCTTCCACTATGTTATCTTCTATTCTTGTATCATTGACTCTCTGAGTCAACGGCAGCTATAAGCTATAAAGGATGCGTTCTAACACATCTTTTTATTGTATTTATTACGGTTTAGAGTACTTTGAAATTGTTAGTTTTAAACTGTTAAAATTAAACCATGACATTGTGAAAGTACTTTATTATGCAATGAAGATGATAATAAAGAAAATATTAAAAATTCTAATCAAGCAGAATCTAATCTTAACAGAACCATATATGTAAGTTTTTTCAAGGGAAAAATTTGAAGACTTTCTGATTTAGCTTAGTTTTAACGTTTATTTTTTGTATCTATTAGTGTAATCCTAACACGAAATAGCAATAACAAATATAATTTTCCTTCCACACTTGTAAGTGTGAGTAAGTCGAGAGATCGCATAATACTTCATCAAACGAAAAATCTTATACAGATTTGAGTACATCACTTCGAGAAAATCATTCCAAGAAAAACTGTTTTGTTTACAAAACAGTTAATCGGTATCATCCATACATAGAGACAGGTATGGTATCTAGTATTATATACATTTCTTATAAAGAAATTTTTTTGCAAACTTTTTATATATTACATTATTAATTATAATTCTAATTTTTTTGTTGAAGATTTCCAAAGCACTTCAAGATCACAATGTAGCACAAATAATATTTCTATTTCACCAGTACTTCAATGATGTATAAATTAAATAAAGATAAAGAGTAAATACCTATCTAATTGATAGTCGAAAACATGTAAAGCAACATATTTACAATGTAAGAAAACATATTTTCTTTTCTTTTGAAAGAATGTACATAATATAAATTTGTACTGTTTCATTAATTTTTTCATTTATGTGATTCTTCTTCAAAAATGAATCAATAAAATCTGTTGCGCGTTTGTTTTCTATTCATTTTATATAAAATATTTCTTGCTTTTAATTTTACAAATAAAAAATAATTAATTTTTTTAAATTTATTATAAATTTATATTTAAAAATTTATATTATAGTAAATGCTGGAGTGGACTGCAAGGCCCACGAAACGTTGGCACATCAAGAATGGACCAAGACATGGAGAAAACCCGCGAAGCACAGATTAGTTATATAGTAAATGCTATTTTTCTATTATATATAAGTAGAAGTTATAATCTTTGTTAATTTTCAAAATTGTATTATTTTATCTATTTTATCATGAAGCTTATTATTTTTTAGAAGTACCAATGTCATTTTTAATCATTTTGTAAATATATTTAATATCCGACTTTTTTATATAATGTTATATACATTTTCTATTTTTTTAAAGATGTAATAAAAAAAATGCATTTTATACGAGAACAAATTAACAAATGAGTTACTTCCCAGAGTCTGATAAATGAGTCTCATTCAGTAATACGAGATTTAAATTTGCCGATATCTACAAGAGGAGATTATCTGGAATTTAATTCTAATGGCAACAAATTAAGAACTTTAGTATGTACAATAATTAAATTTTTATTTTCATAATAATAACGATCATTGTTACTTTCTGTTATAGCAGGCATATCTGAATACATTAGGTGGTTTGGATATGCGAGGAGCGTTAAATAATTTTTTAAAAGTTACCATGACTGATTAGTTTGTGGCAAAAAATATAACATAGAAAGAAGGAAAAAAAAAGAAGGAGAAAATAAATTATCTTTTCGAGAAAGTGCAATAAGCCAGACTTATAAATTATCTTCTCGAGAAAGTGTAATAAGCCCACTTTCTTTGATAATTGTTCCTATTATAATTTCTTTTCAATAATTGATGATAGTATTACTTTTGATGTTATCTTAAATAATGTTAACCATTCACATTATAATATTTATTATAAATTTTCATATTAAGGTAACGAATATGAGCATGTAACTAAACCAGGTCTGTCCAATTTGAACTCCGAAGCTAAAACATAAAGCTATTGACGCAAAAAAAATTGAGTAAAATTTCAGGGACTGTAAAATGTTGATAAGCGTCGCTCATATTATAACACTTTACAATCCCTGCAATCTTCTTCGTTTTACCCAAATTGATTTTTTGGCGTCGATGACTTTTTATTTCGGTCTCAAAACTCAAATTAGACAGGCTTGAGTTAAACTTGAGTTAAACTACCAATAATTTTCATTAAAACTTATTTGGTGCTCGATCAGTATATCCGTATTTTATTATAATTTATATAAAAACTAATATTTTGTTTCTTTAATACCTTATATTATAATAAATCATCAGTTTAATTTTAATATTTATAAATACAATAAATATAATATATAATAATAATAGTAGGTTCTCCTACTGTCATAACTGATCATCGAATCAATTTTGATCATAATTTCAAATGGAATGATGTGAGAATTTTGGACTGCGAATCTTCTTACAATA